GGGGGGAGTGTTGGTGAAATGGAATTCACCCGGGCTCTTTCGAGTCTTTCAACTCGGACGGCATCCGTACCTGCAAGAACTCAACTTCGAAAGGGTCCTGGCGTCGAGCCTCGGATGCCTATTTCAGCATTCGCTAGAGATAATGTGCAATATGAAAGTATAGTAGTAATGTAAGAGAGAGTTAGTGCTGTAAACGAACCGAATCGAATCGAGCTTGGGCTGTTCGAGCTCATGTTCGTTTACTTTCCTTTATTTTTCGAGCAAAAAATCATGTTCGAGTTCGTTCTTTTAGTTGTTCGTCAAAGTTCGAGTTCGTTCGTGTTCGAATGACTTAATGCATAAACTTTTTAAATATGTTTGATTAACTCAAAATGTGTTCGTTCGAACTCGAAAATAAAAGAATAAAATAAAAATATTTTTATATTTATTACTAAAAATATTACGTAAAGATATAAAAAAATAAATAAAATTATATTAAATTTTAGATTTTGTATTAAAAATATTATATAAATATGTAAAAAATAAAATAAAATTGAATAAATTAATGTTCGCGATCATAATCGAACGTTCACGAATGAGCTCGTGTTCGTCGGTTATTAAACGAGTCTAATTTTCTGTTCGAACTCGACTCAAGTAATAAACGAACGAGCTTTTGTTTGAGCTTTTGCTCGTGTACGTTTGGTTCGTTTACAGCTCTAGAGAGTGTGTTTTTGGGATACCTTAGAACATCTCCAATCATGAATGTGAATTGCAGTCTACAAGGCAACTAAATTTAAGTCTTTCTCTCCACGTGGACTGAATAAACTAAATCACTCTCCAATGATTGATGTCTGTACATAGTAAATATCTACACACTATTTTTTTTTTTGTTTTCTTTTGTTGTTAAAAAAAACCAAAAGAAAAAATCTTAATCGTCGAACAAAATTTGAACCAATCATAATATTTTTGGTAGATATCTATACATACACGGACTTCTTCCTTTCATGTTTTCAAGAATGGATACATAGACTTCTTCCATTTATCGTCCTAAACAAAAGGATACACAGACTTCTTCAACAATATATATTTATATATTGCACTCTACGTTAATTTAATTCACAGTATCTGTAGTGAATTTAATTCATAAACAGAGACAAAGTATGCCTTCATTTTGGATTCGCTATCACCCATCTGTATTTTTTTTAAAACATCTCCATCGTATTTATATATTTTACGATGATCATTATTTAAAGATAAAAGAAATAAATAAAGGGTAAAAATGTGTCAACAAGTTTAGAAGTCCTTTCACATGTAGAAGGACTTCTAGATTTATTTTGTCTCTCTCATGACACATCATCTGCAATAAAAGTACAAAAATTACTGGTGGAGAAGTTTTTAGCGAACTACTTCTACAATCTCACAACTAATAGTTCATTGGAGATGCTCTTAGGCCTCTTTTACAGGGGAGGTGTACTTTAGTGCCTAAGTTTGGCTTGAGCAATACCATTATGACACGTGTCCTAGCCAGGTTTATTCTCTAGTATATTCCTTCTTATCTACCGGTCTAGTATGATGTACCATATCACATAGTAACTTCTTAAATTTTTTTAGTTCCACACACACCAAAATCTAGAACACCACATTTGAACCATATGCCAAAAGTTGTCGCACAAGCCAAACTTGAGCACTAAGGTACACCCCCTCATAGAAAGGGCGTAAGGTATCCCAAAAACACACTCTCTCTACTACATTCACTACTATACTTTCATATTGCACTTTATCTCTGGCGAGTGACTTAGGTATCAGAGGCTCAACGCCGGGACCCCTCCCTGCGTTGAGTTCTTGCAGGTACGGAGCCGTCCGAGTTGAAGGAACTCGCGTGAAGTGCACCAGAGGCGATAAGACTATTTTTTTTTTCTTTTTTTTATTATTATTTTTTTTTTTCTGAGGAAAGCTGAACTTGTTAAACATGCCAACAATCAGTTTGTACTTTCCTTATAAATTTAAAATTTTGTGCTGCGTGTTAAACGATAACATATGGTCAATGTGATATTTTCTTACTCATGTTGTGGCTGATAACTCTGAGTTGCAGTGGTCCGCACTCTAACTGGGCACAGATCTTACTGCACAGCTCTGGAGTTCCATCCTTTTGGTGAGTTTTTCGCATCTGGTTCGATGGACACTAATCTAAAGATATGGGATATTAGAAAAAAAGGGTGTATACACACTTACAAAGGCCACACGCGCGGGATAAGCACGATAAGATTCACCCCTGATGGCCGCTGGGTAGTCTCTGGTGGATTTGATAATGTCGTTAAGGTTTGCCAGTGAGAGAGCCCCCTTTTTTTTCTCACAGTTTTTACTTTTTCACCCATGAGTCTCTTGCTTGGTTCTGAGATCATTTTTGTTTTTACTGTTGTTCAGGTGTGGGACCTTACGGCTGGAAAGCTTCTACACGACTTCAAGTTCCATGAAGGGCGTATTCGGTCTATAGAATTTCATCCGCTCGAGTTTCTGTTGGCAACAGGTGATTGTGCATGTGGAGCAGACTTTATTTTTTATTTTTTTGGTGGTTTGTTAAATGTTGTGATGTATAATGTATATAAATGTAGGTTCGGCTGATAAAACTGTGAAATTTTGGGATTTGGAGACGTTTGAGATGATTGGATCTGCAAGGCGTGAGGTACTTTCAATTAAAGAAGTCAATTGATGAATCGAGAAGGCTTCATTGCAAATTTGCAATTAAAAAATAGTAATTTCCAGATAGCAATGCTACTGAATGGACCAAGTTGTTACAAACAGATGGGTTCAATGAAAAAGAATCTTTCGACTGCATTGCAACAGTTTTGCCTTGTTAACTTGCTTTAAATGTTTAACATCCCAGAAGTAATTTCACCCGAAAAGGAAGTTGGAAGAATCATTTTCTTTGGAGAAAACGAACCTGATTTAATTTAGTTCTTTACTCGTGAACGATTGTGTTATCTTCTTCATTTTCCTGTTTTCTTTTCTTTTCTTCCCATTCCCTGCGGATTAACCTATTGTTTTACTCGTCAGGCTTCTGGAGTAAGATCAATTGCCTTCCACCCTGACGGACGAACTCTTTTCTGCGGATTGGATGATAGTCTTAAGGTCAATTTCTTAAAAATTGCATTTTTAACAATTATTTATCTTTGGGAAAAAAATAATAAAAAACATTGTTCAAATGGCTCGTCTCTCTTTAAACTGCAGGTTTACTCATGGGAGCCTGTAATTTGCCACGATTCAATCGATATGGGATGGTCAGCACTTGGAGATATTTGCATCCATGACGGTAAACTTTTGGGCGGTGCACATTATGAAAACTCAGTCGCAGTTTGGGTTGCGGACATCTCGGTATTTTTGGCCTTTACTTCTCAAAACTTATCTTCAGTCTCCCATTTGTATTTACATTTAATTCTTGAATAACTATTATATCTTGTTCCTATTTCAATGTTAGCTTATCGAGCCATATGGGACAAGAATGGCTACCACAGAACAACACAGCCAGTTGGATCCCAAATGCAACAGCAAGGCAAGCATTCAACAGAAAGAGGAAAGCAATATAAAGTCAAGCGTGCGGTCAACCACGCCCGACACTGATTCGAAGGACATCAAAACTATATATGTTGACCGTAAGTCCTATTCCTGTGCTACTTTTACTCCTCTTATAATCGTTAAGATCAACATTTTTACTATTTTAGCCTTTGCGAAGCTGCAGGAGTGAAGTCCATCACTCCAAAGACAGAGGAAAGCAGAACCGTTGGAGTCCAGAAACGGGCACCAGCGGCCAATAATAGATCTCTCGTCACACCTAACATTGTGCCTCGTGATGGACCCGATGGGAAGGTTCCGGTAGCTTCTAGAAGGGAATCCATGTCATCGGTTAGGGCAGGCGGGGGCACGTCTTTGAAGCAGAGTCATGCGCGGAGGTTATCGGCCAGCCGGATTGATATCAAAAGAATGTCAGCTTCCCTTGACTTCGTGCCTCAAGATAGTAGTGTGAAAAGCGCCTTTGACGGTAGTAAAAAGGAAAAGAACAGTCAGAATAGGCTCGTTGCTAATGAAAATGCCAAGGAATTGTCCGAGGTGAAACAATTGAATATAAAGAGTGTTGATGAGAAGTTTGATAGGCCTTCAAATATAAAGAGTGTTGATGAGAAGTTTGATAGGCCTTCGAATATAAAGAGTGTTGATGAGAAGTTTGATAGGCCTTCTTCATCGGCCACATTATCAGGTATAGTTTGCTGTTTTATTTTATTTTATTTTATTTATTTATTTTTCTCTCTGGAAAACTGTCCTCTCAGCACATCATCTTATGCAAGCTGATGTGAACAGTAGAATTGCTATGATCAACTTGATCGATTTTCACTGCCGAAATTGATATATTGCTCTCTCTCTCTCTCTCTCTCTCTCTCTCTCTCTCTCAGGTGATCAGGGATTGAGTTTGAGTACATCAGCGAATCCTGTTAAAGTTGTCAATGGAGGTCGATCAATACTGTTCTACGGGTTTACTTTCTCATCTAAAATGAAGGATCAATAAATATTTATATTTACTTTTTTCTGGTTTTGACAGTTGCCATTGTGCATGGAAGAACTCGAAGCTTGGTCGAAAGGTTCGAGAGAAAGGAGAAGGTTGAAGTGGATGAAATTCGCACGTCCGATGGGCCAAATAATGTTATTGTTGTTGGGCCTATGGAAACACCACCCATTCGGCCCATATCCCCATCTGCATCCCCACCTGCACCCTCGTCTCAGGTACATTATAAGTCAAGCTAAACTTATTACACCATGTTCTATATTTTCTATCTACTTATATTTAATCAAATACTAATCAAACAAAATTTGGCTATGTTGCAGAATGAAGACCGGGAAATTGATATGAGAGAGCAATTAGCTTCAAGCTCGGATGAAAATGCTTTCACTGAAAACCTAATGCAGAGTCATGATGTGCTATTGAGTACATTCAGGTCTCGGCTAACAAAGTTACAGGTAATAATTTGAAAGAATGTTTGTTACAAAAACTCTACATTTTTAATCGTTTCTTTGTAATCTTTTGGGTATATATCGATACAGGTGGTGAGGCATTTCTGGGAAAGAAAAGATGTCAAAGGAGCCATAAATGCTGTTCGGAAGTTGCCCGACCATTCTGTGAGTATTCTTTTTAGTCTTTTCAACTGTCTATTTCCGCAATTTTTTTTCTTGAAATTATTCCATGTGTGCAGGTACAGGCTGATGTAATAGGTGTGCTCATGGATAAGATGGAGGTTATTACACTGGACTTGTTTTCTTGCTTACTGCCAGTGCTTTTAAGTTTATTGGACAGCAAAGCTGAAAGGTGAACTTTCTCAAAATATGGTTTTCATTTCTTTTTTTTTTTCTTCTTATTTTTGCGTGTTATGCCATTTATAGGCATGCTAGTGTCTCGTTAGAGATGCTCTTGAAGCTAGTGGCCGTTTTTGGCACTGTAGTTCGTACGACAGTTTCAGGTCCTCGAGCAGTCGGAGTTAATCTCCATGCAGAGGAGAGGTAAGTAAACAAGTTCTGAGCAGATGTTTTAATTGTATATATGTGCTTGTTTTTCCCTTTTTTTTTTGTTTTAATCTTTGGACCCTAATGGCAGGCTCGAATGCTGCAAGCAGTGCTATTCGCATCTTCAAAACGTACAAAAGATTTTGCCGGATTTGGTGAAGTGAGTGTTTCTTGCATTCTGGTTTTTTTTTTTTTCTTTTCACTATATAATTTTTATTTTTATTTTTGTTTTTTTGTATTGTTTATTTGTGTGGCAGGAGGGGAGGTACTGTAGCAAGGTACGCACAGCAACTGAATCTTGTTCTACAACAAACGTAGAACGAGCCTGAAGCCAAAGATCATCATAAACCGAAAAAAAAAAAAAATGATCATCATAAACCGAAAAAAAAAGATCAAGAAAAGATAGGTACTTACAGATTATCAAGTTCCGTAAAAAGATTAAAGCTTCTCAAGCTTGCTGCCATTTTGTATCTTTTCACTTGCTGATAAGTTAAAAATGGCTTCTGTACTGTGCTATGAATACACGACACAAATAGCGACTCGTGTCTGGTGCTATGGATACATGTCACAGATAGAGACTCGAGTCTGGTGCTATGAATACACGATACATATAGCGACTCGTGTCTGGTTTTCGTGTGATTATACGTGTAGTATAATTACAGATATATATATATATACATATATATATATATATATATATATACATACATATATATATATATCCACATTGCTTGAGGTCGACTTATTGCACTAAGGATCTAAGAACGACTTAGGGACAATTGGCAAGACCGCCTAAGATGGTGATTCCATCTCTACCAATTCCAGGCCGACCTTCTGTTGCTCGAGTTCGACTTTCCTACACCTTGTAGCTTGAGGGGTGTGTAAGGCTACTTTGGTACTTAATGGGTCTAACGGGTAAGGATGAATTATTAGAGAATAAGATAGAATCTTAAGCTGACTCAAATATGACTAAGAAATGTTTAAGATATGGATAAAACTGAGTAATCGGGGCGGTCGACCCGAGGCGTTTTGGGTAGGTATTTTACTCTATAAAAGGAGATGAGATATGACCAAATCTTAATTTTTTTGACTCTCTACACATTTCATATCTTGCTGTTGCGCTACCTACAGAGCATCCCTCTCCCTTTCGGATACTGAGTTAAGCATCGGAGGCTCTATGCCGTAAACTCTTCGGCGTTGAGTTCTTGCAGGTGTTTGTGGTGATCTAGATTCGGTTCAGACAACTCGGAGCTCATATCAATTGGTTCATTCCCAGATCTAGGATGAGACTTATCAAGTGACCTGTTATAATGACATGACCATAAGCATAACGTCAGAAGCTTTTAATTTATAAACTCAAAGAGTAATGCTACTCTACCCACGGTGGACACATATTAATATGCTCACCGTTTATGTGACATGCATACATTGGTGATGTATTTTTTTAAACATATTAACATCACCAATGTGTGCATGCCACATAAGCGGTTGACATATTAACATGTGCCCACCGTGGGTAAGGGAACATTACACTAAAATTACTCTAAAATCAGATACCATTTGTATGAAATCATTTGTTAGGAAATCTAAAATAAAGGATGACATCATTCATCATTAGTTCGGAAAGCAGTGGTTACAAAGGTTTTTTTTTTTT